ACAAGTTTTGGTTTCTAAAGTGCGGAACACTGAGCAAGTCCCCTCCTCGTGGGGGGAATTGATTGTTGTCCCCATCTTCAAAAAGGGCCCGCGCAATGACTGCGTCAATCATAGGGATATAAGCCTGATCCCAATAGCGTCAAAGCTGTTGGTGTCAGTCACTCTCCGCCGATTGTGCACTACGCGTGAGGAGCAGGTTGGGTTTCGTGCCGGTCGTGGATGCATCGATCAAATCTCCAACCTCCGACAGCTGCTACAGCACCGTCATGTCTACCAAAGACCGATGATCATTGTATTCTTAGACATCCGCGCGGCCTTCGACTCTGTCTATAGGACCGCACTATAGAACTGACTGTTGAGGAATGGAGTAGCTGAGAAGTGTCGATCCTCAAAGAGTTGTATCGTTATACCTCAGGTCGGGTTAGAGCATATGGCCAGCTTTCGCCATTCTTCCCCTCGCTCTAGTGGAGTTCGGCAAGGCTGCTTTATATCCCCATTCCTTTTCAGCTTTATCATGCTCTACAGAATGCTTTGTCCGGTCTAGCAAAGGGTGGAGTCGAACTCCTCCCAGGGAACAGAGCCCTCGACTTAGAATATGCCCATGACATCGCCTTATTGGGTGACAACACAAAGGCAGTTCAAAACGCTTTGAGCCGCTTGGCGATAGAGGTATCCAGGTATGGTATGTGCTTTGCACCTTCCAAGTGCAAAGTGCTGATTGAAGACTGGCAGGAGCCTGTGCCTGCACTCATCCTCTGTGGTGATCAGCTAGAAGTAGTCGAGAGCTTGATCGCAGCTGGCGGGGGTATTGGAGAGGAGATCACATCACAAATAGCGAAAGCTAGAGCAGCTTTCACCAATCTTCGACACCTGTGGTGCCGCCATGACATCCGATTGCCCGTAAGAGTAGGGTGTACATACCCGCGGTTCGTAGCGTTCTGCTTTGCGGTCGCGAGACCTGGCCACTCCGCGCTGAGAATGCTAATCGATTTTCTGTATTTGACCACCGATGTCTCCGGAGCATTGTTCGTGTCTGGTGGGAACACCGGGTGAGCAATGACGAGGTTCCTCGTCGTGTGTTGGGTGCGGATAGTCGTTCCCTAACAGAAGTAATCGCTTTACACCACCTCCGATGGCTTGGTCACGTATTGCGTACACCTGCCCATCGACTACCTTTCCGTGCTCTCTTCGCACGTGCCGGGCAAGGCTAGAAGCGGCGCGGCGGTCAGACTATGACATGGGCTAGAGGAATGAAGAAGCTGGCTTCAACTTTGGCTTCGGTTGGTGCAGCCCGCCTGCCAGGTTGGGGCCCAAGGGATGAGGATTGTCGTTGGTTAGAGACGTTGAGATATATGGCCCAGAATAGAAGTCAGTGGCGTGAATGCTGTACGGTCTGCCTGTCGAAATCCCGTGCCCCGTAGAAAAACAACAAACAACACAAAAACATGTCAAAAGGTGTACGGTGAAACACAAAAAAATTTGTTATTCCAGATATCTTCCATTTTCCCGTGTTTATCTGTTTCACCCCCTTTTCACTCTGTTCTGTACTCCAGAGTACTCCAAGTCACTTGTCCCCTTTTGTCGTTATTGTTATTACTGTTGTTGCGTTGGCACCATGCTTGTATACAAGCCGGTAGTATATATATATATATATATATATATATATATGCTACAATGTTCTAATCGCTTTGAAGACAATTCGAGCTACAGACGATTAGCCAAGAGGAAAAGGCGTCTCACCTGCAACAGAACCAGAACCGCCTTCCGATCCTTGGGAGCTGTTTGCTAACTCCGGGGCCAGACAACCAAAAACCACCAAATTCCACAAATTATTAATTGCTGTTTTCACTCGATCTGCCTGAACCGGACGCGTCGTCTCCGCTTCGGTCATCGATCCCATCACATTGTGTTCCGCTCCCGTGTCCAGTTCGTAAGCGACCGCGGAGACAGCCTCATGCAGTCGGAGCAGAGCCCGAATTAGGTCTACACCACCACCCAGGGTGGAATTGCGAGCAGGAAGTGCACCTTTAGGCAAACACACGGCCGAGGATTGGGCTCGTTTGGATGCGGGCAAGATGAAGTCACGTTCCTGATCCAGCGGGGACAAATAAGAAGCGAATGAATAGAACATTCTATGAGTGTGCTTATTGGAGACAATTTACCAACTGCAAACACGAGCGTGTCTAAAATGAATTCACATGCGATGCACAATGAAAAGAGAGACGGATTTTATGGTCTTTGACCTGTTTCAGGAAAGGGAAAACCGGTGTGGAACTTGAAGCGGAGAATCAACGCCTCTTGGCTTTTTCAATCTAGCGTGAACCTACCGTTGCTATAACCGGGTTGGTGAACCACTGGCAGTTCACCTAGACGAGTTGGCCAAAAACCCTGATTCCAAACCAACCAAAGGGAGGCGTAAGAACTACACCCACACCTTTCCGGTTGTGGTAATGGTTATCGGTTCGATTGGGCAATGAGGTGTATTGGGTACCTTGAACGTTTGACCCCGTCCGAAAGGCGTATGATCCGATGAACTGGACACCGGGTACCAATGGATTGGGGTTTTTGCACACCGCCCCGCTGGCTTGCGAGTCAGGCTTTGGCTAGCCAAGGGCCCCAGTTATGGATTCCCCAAGAAAACTC